CTACCTAGTGCCAATAAGCTGCCTAAGTATGATCCCCAATCAGAGACAACGAGCGATAGCTGCCTCTGATTGGGAACCACACCGGCAAACATAGAAATACACATACTAGATAACACACCTAGAATATACACAACATAGAATATACACACCCTGACTCAACATATAAGAGTCCCCTGAGTCAGGGCATGACAGTACCCCCCATAATATGGTGGCCTCCTCTCTTACCCGGCACTCCTCCTCCCGTGAGGACTCCTCCGGGAGCCCCCACGAGTTAGGGAACAGAAACTCGTCGTCGTCGTCATCCTCCGACTCCTCAGTATAATACTGTTCCCACTCCTCTTCCCATGGTCGTAGGGACCCAATCTGGAAACCAACCGGGTGCAGTGGTCGGGGCTCTTCTCTCTCGCTCCCCGACCACCCCTTTAGCCCCCCCAATTTTTTTTATTGGGGCTGCTTCTCGGGCTTCCTCCTCGGCCGGCTTCCGTGTTGCCGTTGCTCCTCTCCTGCCTGGGCTTCCTTCTTCGCCCAGGGTCCTTTTCCCGCAAATATCTCCTCCCATGACCAAATCTTCCCCACCTGTGTCCATGGTGTTCGGTCCTCCTGGGCACGCTGCTTGGTCCGTGTTTGGTGGGATCTTCTGTCACGTTCGTTTAAGGACGGGTCAGACCAAGGCGCAGCGTGATATGCATACATGTTTATTTACAACGAATAAACACACGACAAAACAACAAATGAAACGTGAAGTCCAAAGGCTGAACACAAAACAAGCCTAAACACGGAACAAGATCCCACAACTACCTAGTGCCAATAGGCTGCCTAAGTATGATCCCCAATCAGAGACAACGAGCGACAGCTGCCTCTGATTGGGAACCACACCGGCCAACATAGAAATACACATACTAGATAACACACTTGGAATATACACAACATATAATATACACACCCTGACTCAACATATAAGAGTCCCCTGAGTCAGGGCGTGACATTGAGGGCCGTCGTGGTATCAGGGGGGATATACACGGCCGTGACTTTAACCGAAGAAAATTATCTTGGCATTTGATTTTGAGATATTCTAGGTCGGGTGAACAAAAGGACTCGAGTTCCTGTATGTTACTACAATTACACCATGAGTCGTTAATCATGAAACACACACCTCCGCCCTTCTGCTTCCCGGAGAGATATTTATTCCTGTCTGCGCTATGAACTGAGAATAATACAGGATGTATTATTTTTTACATTATTAGCTCAGAAAGTGTTTTGTATCATTACTTTCTGAGCTAATAATGTAAAAAATAATACATAAAAAAAACAAAATACTGCAAAGTTTCCTAAGAGTTAGTCGTGAGGCCGCCATCTGCGTTGGTGCCAGGTTGAACCACAACAAATTGAATTATTGAACAATTACACATTACATTTGATTTATTTTCATATTAACTAGTAAACCTACACATTATGACCAATTATAGTTTTAAGCAGTGTATTGGTAGTTAGTTAACACGCTACCTAACTGATCAAGAATTATAGGTACAAGCTAATAACAAGGTATATATGCTATCTTATTGAACAAGCAACTTAACTCAAATGATGTGTGTGCTAGGCATCTCTCTCCAGCTCTCTGGCCTGCTGCTGCCTGTGCACGAGCTGAGCGCCTGCTGCTGACGTCACTCACAATGCACTTTTGCAGCCAGGCACGTGTGTTGTGACTGAGTGTGTGACAGAGAAAATCATTTTTGTGTCATTTAGAGGGAAAATGCGTGGTCCTCTGTAGGTCAGCTGGTAGAGCACGGCGCTTGTAACGCCAGGGTAGTGGGTTCGATCCCCGGGACCACCCATATGTAAAAATGTATGCCCACATGACTGTAAGTGGCTTTGGATAAAAGCGTCTGCTAAATGGCATATTATTATAATTAGCGTTTGAGTCACTTTTCAAAAGTTGCTAAAAGTTCCAAATAATTTTTTAAAAGTATCTAAATGTGTTGCTAGGTGCTGTTTAAAAAGAAAGTTTCTAGGGTAGTCTGAAAAGTTGCTAAATCTAGCAACAAAATTGCTAAATTGGCATCACTGTACCAGGGAATGCGCACTCTTCAAAATCACCACTCAATGTTGTTGCTAGCACTTGCCCCCAAAAAGTGTACCATGTTGAGTTCACATTTTGTTACATTACAGCCTTATTCCAAATTGGATTAAATTGTTTTTTCCCCTCGTCAATCTACACACAATACCCCATAATGACAACGCATTACACAGGATTTAGCTACTTAAAATGAAAAAACTCTTGAGGGGTACTTACTTGTAATTACTGTGTACTTATATAGTACATTACCCATCCTGACAACCTGGCCCTTATTTTAAGACTTCCGGAAGCACCATCTGCATAATTACAACGTAATTAGTAGGTGTTACAGAGGATTTAGCTAGCTAAAATTAAGTGTATCTTGAGGTGTACTTAATTGTAATTAGTGTACCTGCAAAGTACGTTACACATTCTGACAATCTAATTGGCAGCTTCTGAAAGCGCCATCCAAGTGAGAAAATAAACATGCTTATATACCTCAGAGTACATATCTGTAATATCTGCAGAAGTACAAGGTTGTCACTAGTTGTTACAAAGGATTTAGCTTTTTAAAGTTAAGTGTAACTTTATATACTGAACAAAAATAAACGTAACATGCAACAATTTTAAAGATTTTACTGAGTTACAGTTCACATAAGGAAATCAGTCAATTGAAATAAATAAATGAGTCCCTAATCTATGGATTTTACATGACTGGGAATACAGATATGCAACTGTTGGTCACAGATACCTTAAAGAAAAAGTAGGGGCGTGGATCAGAAAACCAGTCAGTATCTGGTGTGACCACCATTTGCCTCATGCAGCGCAACATATCTCCTTCGCATAGAGTTGATCAGGCTGTTGATTGTGGACTGTGGAATGCTGTTCCACTCGTCTTCAATGGCTGTGTGAAGTTGCTGGATATTGTCTGGAACTGGAACACGCTGTCGTACACATCGATCTAGAGCATCCCAAACATGCTCAATGGGTGACATGTCTGGTGAGTATGCAGGCCATGGAAGAACTGGGACATTTTCAGCTTCCAGGAATTGTGTACAGATCCTTGCAACATGGGGCCATGCATTATCATGCTGAAACATGAGGTGATGGCGGCAGATTAATGGCATGACAACGGTCCTCAGGATCTCGTCACTGTATCTCTGTGCATTCAAATTGCCATTGATAAAATACAATTGTGTTTGTTGTCCATAGCTTAAGCCTGCCCATACCATAACCCCACCGCCACCATGGGACACTGTTCACAACATTGACATCAGCAAACCGCTCGCCCACACAACGCCATACACGTGGCCTACAGCTGTGAGGCTGGTTGGACGTACTGCCAAATGATCTAAAACGACATTCGAGGCGGCTTATGGTAGAGAAATTAATATTCATTTATCTGGCAACAGCTCTGGTGGGCATTGCTGCAGTCAGCATGCCAATTACACGCTCCCTCAAAAGTTGAGACATCTGTGGCATTGTGTTGTGTAACAAAACTGCACATTTTAGAGTGGCCTTTTATTGTCCTCAGCACAGGGTGCACCTGTGTAATGATCATGCTGTTTAATCAACTTCTTGATATGCCACACCTGTCAGGTGGATAGATTATCTTGGCAAAGGAGAAATGCTCACTAACAGGGATGTAAACACATTTGTGCACAACATTTTACAGAAATAACCTTTTTGTGAGTATGGAACATTTCTGGGATCTTTTATTTCAGCTCATGAAACATGGGACCAACACTTTACATGTTGCTTTTATATTTTGGTTCAGGATATGGCATGCTGTTCTAACAATGGATGCTATAGTATAACATGCAAACACTTTAATATTCACACAGCAGGAATATCGAAGTAGCTAGAGAGAGAAATAGAAGGCCTAGGCACTGAAGATGTATGTCCCTCTCTCAGGCCAAGCTACATATCTTATCTGATCTACGAAGGCACTGTTACTAGGCTACTAGGGCATAAGTGCACATGCAGATAGGATTTGGCCATTCTGGAACTTCTAGAAACTTTGCAATGTTGCCCTCTAATACAGCAGTACATCTAAGGCCATACATTGCAGCGGTAACATACAAACAATATAAACCTGATAACCACACTAACCCGAGGTAGCATGCACGGGATACACACAAACACCGAATATCCCCAAATGTACATGCCAATGGATGCACACAACACTTTTAGTAAGGAAACAGCATGTTAAAGGTCCGTCAGTATCAAACACTTGCTTCTTTCTGAAGACGGCAGGTGAACACGCTCTAACTTGGTGTGCGGGGCTGAGCCCTGGAGTGCGTCCAAGCGCCCTGATTGGTTGGATGAACAGAGGTGTGAAGGATCTGAAGGCCAATTGGATTGAGAGGGCCGGCCTTTTTTACAATACCCGCACTGTATCTGCGAGCTGTTGGCTAGAGCTCCTCTGTAGCTCAGCTGGTAGAGCACGGCGCTTGTAATGCCAAGGTAGTGGGTTCGATCCCCGGGACCACCCATACACAAAAATGTATGCACACATGACTGTAAGTCGCTTTGGATAAAAGCGTCTGCTAAATGGCATATTATTATTATTATTATAGAGCGCACGTGCGATGGAAACCCATTTAACTTTTATTTTCTATTCGGTACATGGGAAGTTATTTTTATATGCACTACGTAATCACGCACAGCATTTTACCAGCAACAAGGCAATTTGATGGAAAATGCGCAGGAAAATGTGCATATTGTTTTTATGCAGATTTTAGAATATTTGCATGAAAATCTGTCGCCAATTGGATGGAAACCTAGCTAGTGTCTTTTTACATGTATGTTCTAAACAATATCCTAAATCTAAAGCAATCCACCAATCAGACAATATCAACCCACCATCTATCCTGCAATGCAATTTGTGATTCTATTATGGTTCTTCATGTTGATCAGCAAGCCTCTGACATATGTATCCATTTTCACCTTCAGAACACACATTGTCATGTGGACTGTCCTGGGGTTAGCAGCAGTCTTCCTGTCTGCCTCAGGTAAGTTATTCTCATAGCCTCAATAGAGACATGGTGTAGATGCAAAGTTTAGGAGGGGTGGTAATGGTCAGCAATAAATCACAATTGCTTATAGTGTTATGTTGTCTTAAACTCATGTCTCTTGTTGTAACACATCCTCATCCTCTGTGGATATTAAGTATATCTTCAACTGAGACATGGTTCTAAGGTGAAGGTCATTATTTCTGGTTTCCTCAATGAAGACTGTTTATCAAGCAGAATCTTAATAATTGCAGTTGTCTCATCTCAAAACCTTTTTGTCACTCCCACACATACTCCCACACATCCTCAGTTCTCCTTTCTACTCCCCCTCATGTGTGTGTGTGTGTGTCTGTGTGTGTGTGTGTGTGTGTGTGTGTGTGTATATAGTAAAATCCCAGTCCTCCATCTATGTGTGTGTGTGTTTACAGTAACATCCCATTCATCCATTTATGAGTTTGTGTTTACAGTAACATCCCATTCATCCATCTATGAGTTTGTGTGTGTTTACAATAACATCCCAGTCATCCATCTACAATACTATTTATTTTGTGTTCTTGTTCCGAGAGTCACATGCACGTATACACTTCTCTTTTTATATCTCAATGAAGACTGTATATTAAGCAGGCCCACACATACACCTACACACCCCCTGTTCTCCTTTGAGAGAGAGAGATATCACTTTCATTATTACTGTCTTGCTGCATTGACGGCTTCAGGACAGGAAGAGACTTGATCTGAGTTCAAGGTCAGCAAATCATTGTTTACTCCAAATGGAAAACATTTCGCAAAACAAACAAAAATGGTTTATATTGGAAAACTTCAGCCTAGGTCTTACCAGGACACACAGGACACCCAGCGAGCCCTTCCACAGCAAGCCAGGCTATGCTCTTTCATTTACATATGTTCTTATAATGTCCGAGAGACCCTCTAGGCCAGGGATGGGCAACTTTGATGGGGGTGGGGGCCACAAAAATGGAACTCATTTATTTTTATTTTTTTATTTTTTGGTCATTTAGCAGACGCTCTTAACCAGAGCGACTTACAGTCCTAGTCAGCTCGGGGATTAGAACCAGCAACCTTTCGGTTACTGGCACAACGCTCTTAACCACTAAGCTACCTGCCGCCCCTCACTCATCATGAGGGGGCGCAGTGGCTTGTGGGTCTGCCTACCACATCCATATCCCCCACCCCCACCCACCTACCTTGCGAGCAGAACATTTTAGCAGCCCCCCTCGTGACAGCGAAGAGTAAACATTTACGTTTTAAAGTTTATTTCCTGCAATTCTGTGCATTTTGCCATGGGGTGTAGAGAAAATGTTGCCGTTTTATAACTAAATTCCTGCAATTCTACACATTTTGCCATAGGGTGGAAGCAAATGTTTGCTGTTTTTAATATGATAACTGATGATCAATCGGTAATTCGACCATGCTTACTACAAGTTTAGATAGCTGGCCACTAGACTAACTTACCAATCTAAAAACATTTAGCTGACATGGGCTAATTGAGTGACTGCTGATGCACAACCACATTTTGAAATTGCATCTTGTGTATTCTATTATTCTAACTCTCAACAGTAAGTTGAGACCCCGACTGAGTTCCTGTGTGTGAAATTGGTCCGCGGGCCTACAAATGTTGCCCATCCCTGCTCTAGGCCATTGTCATAGTCCTGGAAGGCCGATGCCGCTTGTTCCATAGTCAATAAATCCATGAATTCCCTTAACCAAATGTCCATGCTGAAGCACTGCGGTTTACGCTCTTTCCAATTCATAAGTATTGTCCATTTGACTGATAGGAAGGCCAATGCAATGATACGCTGCGTGGTTCTAGGTTGGACCTTTTCTGTAGCCTGAAAAGTCAGGACACCTGAAATGGAGCTGAAACTGTCCCGGGGAAAACGGGATGGTCACCCTAACACACACGGTCAAATTACTAGACTAGGCTACAATGTGTAGGCCTATTACTTCAAATAGGCCTACCGGTAGCCAGTGATGTAGTGGTAAAAAAAAAATGTTTGACGGCTGCAGTGAAAATGTTTATGCTCCCTATACTTTCAGTGCATTTTTAAATGCATCAGGTCGCTAACAGCCTGGTACTCAGCACTCTATTGTCCTTCTAACCACTCTGACATTAATGCAAATGCAATTGAAAATCACATCAAAACATTTATCTTCAAAACAGTATCGTGCTTTTGAAACACACCTCACTGTGATGATCAATTTAAAGAAAGAAGTTGAACAGCAGGTTGAAACTGAGTGGAAAACATGGTCGTTGTGGATGTTGTTTCAAAGCCTAATACAACGAAATGGACAGCGCTTTCTAAGGTGATGATTAATTAAAAACATCCATATGCATATTAGAGCTTATTCATAGGCCTAAATATGAGCCCAAGCCCGAATTAAATAATTGAATTAAAATAATGACTTTGCCTTTATACAATACATAGCCTACCGCATATTACACACAGCAGAAAAACATAAAACAAAACTGATTTAAGATGTCTTTGGTACAAAATTGGTTTAGCCTATACTCCAAAATTAAACAAATTTTAGTAATCACCTTTGAGTGTGGACTGTATTATTATGCATACTGGATGGACTGGTTACCTTATACTATTCTCCAAACTCTTTCTCCACGAGTCTGGGAGAGAACGTATTATAATAATAATAATAATAGTATAGACTTAGGCGATGCTGTTGGTTCATTGATTGTGCAGGGCGGCTTACAGAGTTGGCCTACAATTGTAGTGAATTTGTATTTGATTTTGAAAAGCCTAGTTGTAGGGCATTTTTTAATATTTTCATAATTCATAGGCTGACTCATTACCTTTAGCTATACAGAATATCTCACCACCGCGCATTTACATCTCCTCCCCTCTCTCTCATTCAACAGTTTAATAATTAAATATGTTTTGTTGTGAAAAAACATGTTACTATCGATGTTCCCAACCAGATTTCACTTGGTTTCCCAAATTAAGAATGGGTAGTTCCAGGAACAGGGTTGAGAGCCCATGGCATACAGAGTTTGGGCGGAATATCACCTGAGTGAAAGTGTTCTTAAAAGCCCAGACATTTCTATATGCAATCCCGTGTGAAAGCAGAGTTTTGATGGTTGCCACTAAAAAGAGGAGGATCCCAGCTGCTACTATATTTATTATTTATTTCTCAGCTGCTCATATTAAGCACATGCTCCGCTATAAAACCGAAGTAGCCTACCCGGCAAAATTGAAAAACTTACTGGCGGGAAAGAGGCATCCATTCGCTATTCGAGTGCATACGGCTGACATGTACTGTATATTTTCCCCTGCCCCTGTTCCTGCCCATTTGATGGATTAACTTGGCAAAGTAGAAATGCTCACTAACAGGGATGAAATACACATTTGTTCACAAACTCTGAGCGAAATAAGCTTTTTGTGCGTATGGAATTTCAGGGATTTCTGGGCTATATTTTTTAGGCTCATGAAACATGGGACCAACACTTTACATTTATATTTTTATTCAGTGTAGTTAGGCCAGACATCTACAAAAGAAGCCTAGACTGACAGAGACACACACAGACTCCAAATAGCTAGCTTATAGCTAATTGTTGGTTAAGGGCTTGAAAGTAAGCATTTCACTGTAAGGTCTATGTTGTATTCGGCGCATGTGACAAATAAAATGTGATTTGATTTACATGTTGCATTTATATTTTTGTTCAGTGTAGTTACTGGGATGTTACTGGAAACACACACACACACACACACACACACACACTCATAGATGGATGATTGGGATTTTACTGCACACACACTCGCAGTCTTGTTTAACTAACCTTGTGGGGACACACAATGTACAGTGCATTCGGAAAGTATTCAGACCCCTTGACCTTTTCCTCTGTGAAGATGGGAGAGCCTTCCACAAGGACAACCATCTCTGCAGCACTCCACCAATCAGGTCTTTATGGTAGAGTGGCCAGACGGAAGCCACTCCTCAGTAAAAGGCACATGACAGCCTGCTTGGAGTTTGCCAAAAGATTCTCTGGACTGATGAAACCAAGATTGAACTATTTTGCCTGAATGCCAAGCGTCACGTCTGGAGGAAACCTGGCACCATCCTTACGGTGAAGCATGGTGGTGGCAGCATCATGCTGTGGGGATGTTTTTCAGCAGCAGGGACTGGGAGACAGGATCGAGGGAAAGATGAACGGAGCAAAGTACAGAGAGATCCTTGATGAAAACCTGCTCCAGAGCGCTCAGGACCTCAGACTGTGGCTAAAGTTCACCTTCCAACAGGACAACGACCCTAAGCACACAGCCAAGACAATGCAGGAGTGGCTTCGGGACAAGTCTATGAATGTCCTTGAGTGGCCCGGCCAGTTCCCGGACTTGAACCCAATCGAACATCTCTGGAGAGACCTAAAAATAGCTGTGCAGCGAAGCTCCCCATCCAACCTGACAGAGCTTGAGAGGATCTGCAGAGAAGAATGGGGGAAACTCCCCAAATACAGGTGTGCCAAGCTTGTAGCGTCATACCCAAGAAGTCGCGTGGCTGTAATCGCTGACAAAGGTGTGTCAACAAAGTACTGATTAAGGGTCTGAATACTTATGTAACTGTGATATCAGTTTTTTTTTTTTATCCATTTGCAAACATTTCTAAAAAGCTGTTTTTGCTTTGTCATTATGGGGTATTGTGTGTAGATTGATGAGGGGGGAAAAAACTATTGAATCCAGTTTAGAATAAGGCTGTAATGTAAAAACAAAAGTGGAAAGAGTCAAGGGGTCTGAATACTTTCCGAATGCACTGTATAACCATTCAAAATCCTATTTTCCCTAACCCAAAACCTAACCTTAGTCCTAACTCGTAACTCCTAACCCTAAACCTAATTCTAACCCTTATTCTACCTTAACCCTAAACCCCCTAGAAATAGCATTTGAGCTTGTGGGGACTAACAAAATGTCCCCAGTTGGTCAAATCTTTGTTTCTTTTACTATTCTTGTGGGGACTATACCCACAAGTAGAGTTAAACACATCCATAGATGAATGACTGGGATTTCACTGTAAACACACACACACACACACACACACACACACACACACACACACACAGGAGGAGTAGAAAGGAGAACTGAGGATGTGTGGAAGTTAGTGTGGGTGTGACAAAAAGTTATAAAGACAATTGACATCAGATTAAGATTCTGCTTGATAAACAGTCTTCATTGAGATATAAAAAGTGTGTGTGTGCGTGTGCGTGTGTGTGTGGTTCCAATAGTGTGCAGTATCATGTTTATTGGCAAACAAAATGTGTTGTGATATTGCACAATAACCGTTGAGAGAAACCACATTCTGGACGTTTGCCCAAACATCCTTTTTAGAGTCTGGTTCTTCTTGTTTCCTGTACTCCTCTGTACTGAGGGGAGATTTTCTAAACCACTTTTGCCATTTTCTTATCTTGTGAAAGACCAATGCAACTTCCCCAAAACATTATTGAAATTAACCTTGAGAAATTTAATCTTCTCAACTGGTCTTTTTTTATATTGTAGCCCATTTGGAGCGGCTCCAAGCTATTGTGGGACAGAATGTCCTCCTGCACTGCCCCTGCGAGAAGACAAACGAGAGAACGGGCATTAAATGGCAGTTAGAAGACCATACCTTTGTGCTTCACCACAATGACAGGCATAACACCACAACCATCGGGAATGGATACGAAAACAGGGTCAGTCTCTTTCTGAATGAAGACAGGGGCAACTGTTCCCTGCTCCTCTCAGGCATCACTGTCGCAGACAATGGGATGTACAAATGCTACATTGAAGCCAATACTTTGTACTACTTTCACATCACACTGCATGTTGCTGGTAAGCCATTTGTTGTTCATTCAGTTATTCTGCTATTGGTTGATTTATTTGTCCCCCCCCTCCCCCTTTGTACTTCATAAGTGACTCCATTTCAGGCATGCTCTCTCCTCTCCAGCGAGCTACAGTGTATGTATGCACCAGGTACCAGACAAGGCTTCGGTGGGTTCCGGAGGGGGAGAGGGGTTCGGGGTGTACCAGTGTAAAGCCTCCGGGGGATACCCAACGGGCCAGATTTACTGGAAGATGGATGGACATCCTCTGGTGAACATCTCCAGGAGGGATGAGACCCACCTGGATAACTCTACAGGACTCTACAGTCTGACGAGCAACCTGACCATGGAGCTGAGTCAAGGTGAAAAACTGCAGTGTATGGTGAAGAACACATACCATGCCTCTAACCTCAGCTCCAGCTGCAATGAAACGCCTGGTGAGTACAGGAGATGAGTGACACCAGTAGACATAACACAGCAGCAGTAAATCATGGTAGTCAGGGTCTGGAGTTTCAGCCCCATGATGATTTCATTGAAGAATGTTGGTTAGGGTGTCAGCTTGTACCCAAAAGTCCCAAAACATCTGCATAGGAATGCATGAGAATGAAAAGCTAGGAGTGGGTGCATGCGTATGTGTGTGAAAGTGCGTGAGCAATCTAGGGGCAAGCCCAGGCATAAAAACAGAAAAGGAAAAACCTAATCTCTAAACTAGAGTGAAACTATAGAGAAACAACAGCATTATCTTTGAGACTAAACTATTAGCATTACCAATGTGTAGAGAATAGTGTTTCCTCTGACTCAACACAAATGTTTGGATAAGAAAATGAAGGAGCTGGATCCACAGTGATGTGTTGAGTATTAGACAAAGAAAGTTGCACTGCTGTTGCATATAGGGAGGAGGTTAGTGTTTTATTTGGAAAGCCTTCTCACCACTTGGTCAAGTTTCAAATTCCTCAACTTTTTGGCTTCTCCGTCTCTCATCTAAAACATGTTTTTGGAGTGTGTCATAGTTTGTATTAACTATTTATATGTTTTCTGTTTCATCTCTGCTTTCCAGGATCCAGTAGAAATAGTCTCAGTAAAGTAGCAGTAGGTGTGTCTGTCAGCGTGGTTGTGATGCTTGTTGCGGGAGTCCTGCTGGTGATCTTCTTACTGACTAGATGTCATCGGCGTGAAAGGCCAACGGTGAGCTCTTGTCCTCATTATACCACTGTGTTATCTGTCCAAGTGTTAATGCTATAAAAATCACCAGCATCTGGGCACAAATCAGAGAGCAAACTGCAATGGTTTATCCATTAAAGGTGTTTGAATTACAAAAATACAAAAAACGAATAAGACTTTGATATTGATGCACCTAAATAGTGATTGAATAGAGCGGTTTCAGTCTTATCAGTCTCATGTTTTGTTTTCCCTGGTAGAAGCAGAGAGACACGGAGGAAGGAAACGTGACCCAGCCGTTGAACATCTATGAAGACTCTGTCTGAGTGTGTCTTCTCCCTCCGATACAACAATCTCTCCTCAACTGACGGACGACAAAATGGAGGGATGGTGACTTGCAACGAGAGGAACTAAAACTTAAGATAATGCCTGTGTTAAAAGTAGCACTGTAGAGCAACATTGTGCAATGTGTTGTACTGTCATGTCTGAACTATATTCTGTGGCCGTAATGCAACGAGGCCACGAGCACCTGAATGTGTTGTACTGTCATGTCTGAACTATATTCTGTGGCCGTAAATCAACGAGGCCACGAGCACCTGAAAGTGGTTCATCACGGTTTGCCCCAGTTCGGTGACACTGAACTGACCCGAGTTACAAATACAATGATGAGGGTTATGTACAAAATGAGGCCATGGAGACAAGTTTTAGGAAGTGAAAGGGATGAGGGGAACAGCATGATGCATGATGGGAGAAATGACTGTGGTCAATGGACTGAACATGAGCTGGACTCAGTAAATGAAGTCCAGAGAAATCCCAATAAATAAAGTAGGCCTAAGGCAGCCTGTAAATTGCAATTCTAGAGTTGACTAACTACAGGTGCATTCACATTTCTAAGAAGAGAAGCAGATGATACAGGACTACTATAGTTAACAGCCATCATGGAAACTCTTGTTACATACATCTTGTTTTATACATCTACCGCTATCTATCTTCCTGGTGTTAACCATTTTAATCATGTTGATAATTAATGTTGATAATTCATGTTTCATGTACAGCAGTCATTTCACCTTTTAAATGTGAATTTAATTATCTGAATATGTGAAGAATTTGACATTATCAATGTTTTCATTGCTTTTTATGATGTCGCTTGCTGTGAACCAAGCATGTCATGGAATGACTACATCTAAAGATTAGTAACACTTACAAATGTCAAGCAAATTCTTTGCTTGCTCCAGCTCTATGGTTATGGTTGGTCCAGGGTCAGTTTTGTTGTATTATTAACCATATTGTTTAAGCTTACGACATAGGAAGAGCTGATCGGAAATCAGGGAAATAAAATTAGTTTTTATAGGTCTTGTCCTGAGGAACCAATCCAAGATTCACATCTGTGTTCATATTTATTTTGTGATCAAGTTATTTTTTGGTTGACAGGAGCAAAGAAAAGGATCAACAGATACAAAACCACATATACAATATATCCCCCCCCCCCCCTCCCCTTTCCACCCACATGACCTGCTTATTTGAGTACAAATATCAAAGTAGTGATTTTAAACTGTTAATTGTTGTAGTCCATATGTTAATACTCTGATTTTGCACCATGCAGTCGAGAGAATGACAGTTCAAGTTGAGCTATGTCCATTAATGTGGAAATCCATTGCTGATGTGTCAGAGTGTGTTGGCTGCTGTTAGGCCGGCAAGCCAAATCCTTTGTTGCCTGGGTGTTAGGTACAGTGTAGTTAGTCATCATTAAGCAGTAGGACATTGGAAAGACAAGGGATGGGTTTAGATAAAATGCTTGATAATGATGAAGCCACAGATTGGCAAAAGGAGAAAATCTGTGTTAATATTTTTATACCACTTTTATACCACTTGTTTTTTATACTGTAAGTGACAATTCTGGCTATAAAAAATAGAAACATAAAAAGTAATCTATTAAATGCATTTTAATGTTTTTCTGTGTGAGAAAGTGCTGTTCAGTCGTTTGTAGTGTTGGAAAGTAGCTGAAATTGTCTGCCCTCTTCCAAGAAAAACAGTTATGTTGGTGTTTCTTTTTTAAATAAACTGTATGTACTGTGAATTTGAAATGGCATAATAAACGCTATATTAAATGCCATAATAAACCTTATATTAAAGCACAGCATTGATTTTCACTGCTACGCAGATGATACACAACTTTACATTTCTGTGTCACCAGAGGATTCTAGCTCCATGGATACATTAGACTGTATTAGAGATTTAAATACTTGGACGGCTCACATCTTCTTCCAGCTAAATCAAGACCGAGGTACTTATTGTTGGAGCCAAAGCACAGAGCATCTAGCCGCACACTTTAAGTAACGGGCAATAAAGATGAACTAAATTTCTAACCACACATTAGGAATGTGACCAAAATAGCTTTTTACCACCTGAGGAACATTTCCAAGTTGAGGCCTTCTCTCTCAGGATGATACAGAGAGACTCATCCATGCTTTTATTACAAGCAGGTTTGACTACTGTAATGCTTCTGTCTGGTCTACCCAAGAAAGACATTAGTCAACTGCAAAATATACAGAATGCTGCAGTACGGGTACTGACCAAGACCAGATGGAGAGCACACATTACACCGGTTTTAAGGTCTCTGCACTGGCTGCCTGTGAATTTTATAATTAATTTAAAGATTATTCTATTGGTTTTTAAATCAATCCACGATTGTGCACTCCAATACATGTCAGACATGCTTTTAAGTTATGTACCCAGTAGGTCCCTCAGGTCCTCTGGCACTGGCCTTTTAACTATCCCAAAGCCTTGGACCAAGAGGCACGAAGAGGCAGCCTTTAGTTATTATGCCCATAGCCTGCCAGAGAACCTGAGGCCTTAGCTTTGCTTTTCCTTAGGGTGATTTTTAGTTGTTCAGTTTGTGTCATTATTTTTGTTGTTTTATATCTTATGTTTGTTGTGTAGTAAATAATTCAGCTTTTATTTTCATTCTTTTTTTTTGTAAAGCACATTGCGTTGCATTCCATGTCTGAAATGTTCTGTATAAATAAAGCTTGATTTGATTTGATTAAATGCCATCATAAACGCTATATTTAATGCTACATTCTAATCGTCCCTTTGTCTGAGATGCCCTCTGTCACAATGACTTTAAGGATTTACTCTTAGCAAGAGTCAATACAGTTTCAACACTATATTTCCGAGACCAATTAAAACCTCATTAAATTGTTGATTTATCTATGGCATGCCATTCATATGCAGCCAAGCCATAGGTAAGTCAACAAGAGAATGTGGTATCTCAGCTTACTCATCATCATAAATCAGCCTTGGTCTGATTTCTACTAGAGCAGACAGGTATACTGTAGTCTTGTTCATGTAAAATATCAAGGTCTCAATTTAAGCTATACTAGACCTCACCTAAAAGCTGCAAAATAAGGAGTTACCTTACTATAACCTTAATCACAAATTTGTAGATATAGTTGTATCTAGTTTTATAATAAATATTAAACAATGTAGCTATATAGTTTACACAGAGGGCAGGGCAGGGCACACCCATACTCATAATAGGTTATATGCGTGTTACAGTCATCACAGGCTTATGTCAACCACCACCTTCACTGGTTTCTCTATTACTAACAGATGGTATTACCTACTATCCATCTACTACATTTACATTTATTTACATTTTAGTCATTTAGCAGACGCTCTTATCCAGAGCGACTTACAGTTAGTTTATTTTTCATACTGGCCCCCCTTGGGAATCAAACCCACAACCCTGGCGTTGCAAACGCCATGCTCTACCAACTGAGCTACATCCCTGCCGGCCATTCCCTCCCCTACCCTGGACGACGCTGGTCCAATTGTGCGCCGCCCCATGATTAGATGAAAGCTTAGCCTGCCTTCCAAGAGGTCACCCGGCTTCGATTTAAGACGCCGAGCTTTGCCGTGCGGCCGAACCCACACTCATCAAAGCGCCGCTCCAGAATCCACCACTGAGAAGGATCAAGGGTTTGAATGGGGCTTCACATCTCTACATGGCACGAAGGGCAGATGAGGAAAGTACAGTACAAACACACTTAGATACACACAAATGGGGATTAAAATACCAGTGTGTGGTTCAATACCAATCTACTGGGATGACGTCCGGCGCCGGCAGTTCACACAAACTTACTCTGAGGGGGGAGGCATGTTCAGGAGAGCTTATCATTTCCTCTCCTTCCCTCCTTTTTCCTCCTCTCTATTTCTCTACCTCCCTCTGGTTCTGGTCGTGGATCTGGTTCTGGTCATGGTTGTGTGAGTTGGGCAGGAGGCTATGTACTTTAAATGTCAATATTCGACTAATAATAACTTAAAATCTATACATCCTTGACAGATGTCTTCGTACGTGTCCTGGCAGTTTCAGGATCAATATAATTTCTCTCTCGAGATACTATGATCTATGTTCAAGATGATGTCCAAGAATGAAATCTGAAAGGTCAAGAGCACAGGAGGTTGGTGGCACCTTAATTTGGGAGAACGGGCGTGTGGTAATGGCTGGAGTGGAATAGTATCAAATACATCACACACGATGCCATTCCATTTGCTCCGTTCTGGACACTATTATGAGCCGTTCTCCCCTAGCTTCCTGTGGTGAAGAGTGGATATGAAAATGTTAGCCACGTCCTGGTTTGTCTAGTTTCATCAACTGTTGTATAAGTGATTTGGAACATGAAAAGAAAATCCCTGCATTTCCAGTTTCGTTGAGATAACTATTGTTAGAACATGAAATTCCCTCTGCCTCTTCCTAGACAAACCTGTTTGTGTAATCCTCAGAGGACAGATTCAGCTTAACATTTAGTAATCAATGCTTCCCACAGTTGTGTCAAGTTGGCTGGTGGACCATTCTTGATACACACAGAAACTGTTGAGCGTGAAAAACCCAGCAGCGTTGCAGTTCTCTACACAAACCGGTACGCCTGGCACCTACTACCATACCCCGTTCAAAGGCACTTCAATCTTTTGTCTTGCCCATTCACCCTCTGAATGGCACACATACACAATCCATGTCTCAATTGCCTCAAGGCTTAAAAATCCTTCTTTAACCTGTCTCCTCCCCTTCATCTACACTGATTGAAGTAGATTTAACAAGTGACATCAATAAGGGATCATAGCTTTCACCTGGTCAGTCTATGTCATGAAAAGAGCAGGTGTCCTTCATGTTTTGTACACTCAGTGTATATACAGTTGAAGTCGGAAGTTTACATACACTTAGGTTGGAGTCATTAAAACTTGTTTTTCAACCACTCCAAACATTTCTTGTTAACAAACTATTATGACATTTTGAGTCAATTGGAGGTGTACCTGTGGATGAATTTCAAGGCCTACCTTCAGACTCAGTGCCTCTTTGCTTGACATCATGGGGGTGCTTTGCTGCAGGAAGGACTGGTGCACTTCACAAAATGGATGTCATCATGAGGAAGGAAAATTATGTGGATATATTGAAGCAACATCTCAAGACATCAGTCAGGAAGTTAAAGCTTAGTCGCAAATGGGTCTT